CATTGAATGGTGCAAGATTTTCAAAATAAAGCTAAATATTTCAAAAGTAGTAGTAGTGGTAGCTGAATGTCTCACGAGTTGAAATGGTGTTTCTAGCACAAGCTATACTTGTCAGGTTTGTCCGGCTGCACCTGCCTCTCTCACTTCTCTCCCTCTATTTTAGCTCCCTTACCCCTGATTTCTTTATCTGACACACCTGCTTCACATCCCCTGAATCACCACCAGCTGCACCTGATTAGTTTATACCGTGCTCATCATCCACTTCCCTGCCAGTTCTTTCTACACACAAGCCCGTTCTATGCCGATCTATTATTTTTGTCTACTATATGTATTTGCTCACATTCTTCATCCCAGCTCCGTTCCTGCCTTGTGCCCCGTATTCCTTCACCTGGTTGTACACATATTTGTTATCGTCACTGTAAATATATTGAGCACTTCTTGCACCAAAGTCAGGTACCTGGGTCCGTCATTTTTTACTCGCTCAGCTCCCTACCAGAGCGATCATAACAGGCACCATGGCAACATTTCCTGTTACAGTGCAACAGTGACTGTGTGGGGTGTAGTCAGGCCAAGCTATGCTGTGAATGGCCACAAGAAAATTAACTGTGCTGGCATGGTGTGGGTGTTTTTCCACTTTACTGCACAGCAAAGTTGTTTACCTGCACTGCTAATAATGCTCCACTAACTTGATGAGACACACACTGTATTTCATATAACTTCTTCACAAAAAAACCCCATCCAACTAGTTTCCCAGAGGAAAGTTTTAATCTAAAGCAGCATCAACTGCACTAGCAGCAACTTAACACAACTCTGATGTAAGGGAAATTGATCAGTAAACAGTAAAATAAGGCCATCTGAAATGACAAACAGAAACCAAGGCGTGAAAATGACATCCAGACCACAGAGAGTCAGGTAGAAACTACAACAATACTGAGAGATGAGCACACTAAGACTTTTACAAATGGAGTACTGTAGCCGAAATGAGCTTTCTCCGCAGGGTGGCCGGGCGCACCCTTAGAGATAGGGTGAGGAGCTCGGTCACCCGGGAGGAGCTCAGAGTAGAACCGCTGCTCCTCCACATCGAGAGGAGCCAGCTGAGGTGGCTCGGGCATCTCTTTCGGATGCCTCCTGGGCGCCTTCCTAGGAAGGTGTTCCAGGCATGTCCCACCGGGAGGAGGCCCCGGGGAAGACCCAGGACACGCTGGAGGGACTATGTCTCTCGGCTGGCCTGGGAACGCC